GCTGATAGTACATCCCTCAGAGACCCAGTCTCCAGGGCCATGTGGACACAGGGTCATTCTCCCAGGCTGTTGTCAGGAGGCATTACAACTGAGTCTGTATATCCACGCTGAATCTATGGCATCGCACAACCATAATAATAGTAAAACCTACCATTAATGTGAAAGAAATGTACTGAGCGGGCATCTTAAGGGTTAGTGGTGTCTAGTCCACTGACAGTTACATATTTGCATCTGTGTTCATCTTTCTTTTGATAGTGATTTTAATAGCAACATTTTTTAAGTGTCTCAGAGTTTATTTAGATTGAAACCATCTCTGAGGACTGATAGTTCTGAGGTTCTGGAGTTTCTCTGGACCTGCAAAACTAAGGGCCAAACTCTGGCACCTGTCCAGTATGCTGTCACTCTGAGGCCCTGGCAGGGCAGCCCCAAGGTCCCTGTATACTGTGATTATAGCAGAACACATGCCCAGGACAGTTCACACAGGGACATCTAGGTGCTGTGCTCTGCACACCAAAGTCATGGTAGAGTAGGTCATGGTTTTAGAAAGTTTTTCCCCCCAGGATCATTCAGAAACTCTAGATTAAATGCAGCAAGAAATCCTAATCTGTCTTTTGTTAATTCTTGTTGTTCTTGTACTTTCTTTAGGATTGTTTACTTCCTTGAGTTTTTATCTCTTTGGACCAGGAGGCACTGATTCATCTTATTACTAAATGCGTAATTTTCATACTTTCATAAATATATTTGCATACATAAATATATAGTCAAAAACTCCTTCCCCCCATCTTTTCCCTTCATCAGTGCATTTCTTAGTGCCATTTCTCATTGTGACCCAAACTCATTCTTCCTCTCAGGCCCAGTTCTTCCCACTGCTCATGGTCTGAGAAGGAACCTATGTGACTGTTGAAGATCTTTTTTTTATGATTTTGAAAAGAGAGAAAAAACCAAAGGTCTACAGAAGTAAAGAAAAAGGTAGTGGAGAACTTGTGCAGAAATGAATATGGTTACAGTAACACACATATTGTAAACTCTAAAAAGAAAGATTTACTAGGTACTGAGAGTGTAGTACATTTTTATTGAACACATTGGTTTGAAATACCTCGAGTACATTTAAAGTTTTACAACTGAAATTCTGTCCTTGAATTAGGTTTGGGTCAAGGACAGGTAAAACAATTCTAAGAAATTTTATCTATATTCATATTTGATTTTTTGAAGTTTCCTATGAAACACGTAATTATCATGTCATAGGCATGAATGGCCTGCCACCCTGTTATCCTCACCTAGAGAAATTATAGCTTCAGGGCCTGAAATATCCTGATGGTGATTGTTATTAGCTTGGTGTAGATCCTTGCAGAGGCACTAGCATCCCCAGGGTGTTTATCTTACCTATCTTTTCACCTGACACTAAATGTGACTCTCCCGAGTCCCTGTCCTATGTTCTTCCAGGTGCTGCCAACAGCCTTCAAAACTAGACAGATGCCTCCCATTCCTGACCACCCAAGTCTGTCCATGACATTACCATTCTGAACTTGGAATCCATCTATGTTGTTCTTGGGCTCTTATGGAGTAGTCCCTGTAGCCTTTTTTCTTAACATCCCTTCAGTTGTTTTTCACTTATGGCCATATGTTGGCGAATAAAAAGTAACTTCCTCATCGTTTTTCCTTGCTGCTGTATTGTCCTTGTCTTAAACACCAGGGGATTATTGAATGGAGCCCCTTTGTTAGAATATGGCCTACCTCATTTTTGTGTGTCCATATGGTAGTGATTTAGCTCTTTGGCATGTTATCAGGAACAAGGCTGTACATTCTTCATTTTGGCCAATATTTAATAGCTTCTTACCCTTGGTTCCTTGTGAGTCCCAAGTGCTGCTCTGAGCTGATAGCCAGTCACACCCTAGACATACTGATCTGGAGAAAGAGGACATCAGCCCTTTAAAAGCCAAGGCTGCTGACATGATGGGTTAGAGAGGGAAATATTTAAATTCATAATAAATTCTTAATTTGGAATATTTCTAGGTCACTTTGGTGTACCTATAGATTGACTTTGGAAAGGGGCATGCAGCATTAAGCTGGAATATTTTAAGTGCATCTAGTTTCCTTTATATTGATTTTTTTTGTAATCTAACCCTCTAATAGACTTAAAACTCAAGGAAGGGGGAAAAAAGGGCTATAATTTTGCATAAGTGTTCAATTATAAGTAAAAAGCATTTTTTGTATCTGTTACCATAGTTACTAAGCGGCCTTCCCATGGTTCAAGAGTAAATGGTCCCCATCATTCAGAGTAATTCTCAGAAGTCTGTTTGGGGGAAGGGTTTGAGGAAAGGGTGGATGGGAGGGTCCCCCTCCCCCAGAACCAGGAAACATTACTGGCTGAACTTTTTTGCCACTGAGTTTTACAGATTCCTCCACTAAATAGTACAGTACTGTGTTTACAGGTGGGAATTTTCTTTTCCAATATAGTGTTAGCCAATTTTACTGGGTATCAGAATTGAATTCAAACTTTAAAATCTCCTGCTACAGTTTACATAGGTTGCTGCTGTATGTGAGCAGGGTTTTGAAACTTTATTTAAACAAAAGTTAGTCATTTCTTGTACTGGCAAACATCAGCTGTATCTTGAAGTAATGAAATCAGGCAAGTAAAGATGAGATTATTTTAAAGTCCAGGGAAGCCAGAAGTGACAGACTGGGTGGAGAGAGATTGCATCCATGCCTGAACATGCACCTTTGGTCTCAGCAGTTTTGGGCATTGTTTAGAATTCTGTCAGTGTTTCATGGATTTAGGGTTGCATAGGGGTTAAATATTATCTCATGCTTTACTTTGCTGAAAGATGATTGTATTTGGAGACCTGAAGGCCATCAGCTCAATCCTGGTGACTATAGAATTCCTGTCAGAATTGACTGTTGTCATGTGGGAGAATTGGATGGACATGGGGTAGAGATGAGCTATACAAAGTGGCAGAATGAGCTGCAGGCACAGAAATGCCAGTGAGCTCAGATAGTGAAAAGGAAGGGAAACCACAGAGAGGAGGTGAGGACAAGTCTAGAGAATACCCTAGAGCCTTCAGAGATGTCCTAAATCATAGAGTGAAAGTGGGCACTTCCGAGTTTGTGGGTGTATGTGCCTTTCCCACTATCACCCACTCCCAGATTAACTCTTCCACTGAAAGGCTAAACAGGAGAGCCATCTTTTTTTCTCACTACAGCTGGACTCCCCTTCCCTAAAGCCCTGACTCACTTCACAATCCCTTGTCTTCCTTCCTAAGTTCCTGGCTACTCTGTGACCACCAACCTCCCCAAGACCTCTATACCTGTCAAGGGAAGTGCTGGCTTCTTAGAGTCCTATAGGAAATACTTACTAAATTTGAAGAAACTAAGCAAACCATAGAAGCTAGAAAAACCTACTAAAATTTATTAAGAACATTTAACACTGTATTTAGATTGTGACTATTCTTAACTATTGTTCTAACCTAAAATCGTCCGAAGGGTTGAGGACATTTGGAGGCACTGTTGGTGTGGAAAAGCCTCTTCACTGGTAGTTTTTACTCTGCCATGTGGAACCATCCTAGCATGTGCCATCCCCACCATCCCTGTGATTCCAGCCCTTCTAGTGTGTCCAATCGATGCAGCTGCAATAACGTGAAACCTTGGGGATAGAACCATTGCTTGTTCAAGGCGGAAGGGGTCACATGGCCTGCAAGGCGGGTCAGACCTGCATGAAGAACGCTGCCTGCTCTGTCAGGACCCCATTCTGGCTGCCTGAGGCACAGCACATCTTTGGCCATTTTCAGTTTTTGTCCACCAAGTCTTACATCATAGGCCATTGTTTTTCCTCTACCCTAAAAACAGTCCTTTCTCATCCTCATACGTTACAGGCCATTTTCATGAGGAATGTTGTAGCCACAGGGATTTTGAGAAGCAGTCCTCCTAAGAGAAAATGGTAACCTGTATGGGATTTAAAGAATACTTTCTGAGGGCGGGGGGTTTAGCTCAGTGGTTCCGCCCCCTGTCTAACAAGCACAAGGTCCCGAGTTCGATCCCCAGTACCAAAAAAAAAAAAACTTTTTGAAAAGCAGCAGTACAGCCCATGCTGCCTAAATCACTGCACCTTCCTACCCTTTGGAAAGTGATGTTCAGAATGGCAAATTTAACAATTCCTGCTTTGGTCAGTCATGGAGAGACTTCCTGTGTTTTCCAGGTCATAGTCTCTGTCAGGAGAGCTATTTTGACTCCATTTTTCCTTTTTCAGTATTTTTCCTTTGATTTTAGGCCCGGTTTTGGAATAAGGCTGAGCATAAATCTTTTACCAGATATGCCTGAAAAGTTTTATCTTAAGATAATTAAAGAATCTACAGCTGGTAGCAGCTTAAATACTGTCAAACAGTGACAATTTTTGGTAGTTTCCATGTTCAGTTTCAATCCTGCCTGTGCCTACTGGGGCAAGTAAAGTTGCTTCCAGAAAGAGATGTGGCTGTGCAGAATATGTACATGAATTCAGTGCAGCTGAGTAATCAGTGTCTGTACCCCAAATAGGTGGTGTCCTAAGAGATTCTCTTTCCAGGGAGTTTAGCACTAAGTGGTCCCAGGGGGCCATCTGCCTTCGTTCTGTGTTTTGAAGCTCTGCCTTATAGTCAGAACTGCTGCTGCTGCAGCTTCTTTTTAACTCATTCAAAGCTAACTAAAGTGTCCTAATGCTGTTGTCTGCCTCCTGACTTTAATGAGCATTTGATTGGATTATAAAAGGCCACTGTAAAACTACATTTTAAAATTAAGTGGTCATCAGGCCCAGGTCTAGTGGATGTCATTATGGAGTAGGTGCAGCCAGCTGGGGTTTCTGAGTCATCTTAGATCCAAAACCTAGCTGCTTCTGCTGCCTGAGAATAAGGAAACAGAAGTACAAGGAGAGGTGTGTTTGTGAAAACTGTTCTCAACAGCCCATGTTCCTGTGATTTTCAAAGATGAATTGTTTAACATGCCACAGTGATACATGTTTGCTTCTGTTGAAGGTGGACGTGGGAGTGGTGCACTTCACACCCCTGATACAACCCAAAATAGAACAGCCATTCAAGCTGGTGGAAAAAGTCGTTCAGAATGTGTTTCAGTTCCGAAGGAAATATTGCCACCGAGGGCTGGGGTAAGAATGGTCCCTCCTCCTTTTTGACCTTATGATTCTTAAATGTACCTTAGTTCAGATCTTTTGACGGTAAAAACTTGCCTGCCACTGAGGACAAGCAAAGCCTTGATGCTCATCTTAGATGCCACCTACAAATTGGGTTGGTTTGGTCCCAAGTACAACCTAGAACAGATGCATGGCTCGTGCCGACCCTGTACTAAAGAATCCATGATTTCTCAGGCTCAGACAGATTGAAGTAACTCTGTACAAGGCATGTTCTGTACTGAGTTGCCATATCTCTTAACATCTTCCTGCCGGCTTGAACTACTGTCCCATCGAGTGGCTTGTTCTGCCAGTGGTACATATATATCCCATTGGGTGGCTTATATCACTGGTGATAGAAGCGGGGCAGTCATGCATGGAATAGTCACGCATGTACCAACAGTGGTTAAAGCTGCCTGGCATTGAAACATACATACATGTTAAAGACATGTGAAAGCTAGGAAGTAAATGTAATGTTATTTTGGAAGCTCAGAAGTTTCACTTACCCCAGAGCTCCTCTGTTCTGCTCATTACTTTGCATAAGTGTGTGCACCCCCCACCAGGAACACAGTACCATAGTGCTTCAAAGCCTTTGTGCTTCAGTGAGCCCTACAGTGACTAGTGAAAGTTAAAAAATGTTTACTCAGGCCCAATTAGTCTAAGAAAGCAAGAAAAGCGTATTTTTAAAGGACTTCCATATATAGTCAATATTTGGCTTCACAGCCACATATTTCTCATTTCCTAAGACTTCCATACATAGCTCCATTTAATTCTTATGGTCACAGGAAGCCCCTATGTCACATGACTATTTCAGGTATGGTTAGGCAGCTGTATGCTGAAACTACTGCAACTATAAAACCCTTTCTTAAAGATTTCAGATGGTAGATGTTAAATCTCAACTTGCTCTTTGTTAACTCTAATTTAGTATGACATATAACTGTACAAGGTATGGCCAAAAAATACAGTGAATGTTTAAATAGTTTCATTGTTGTGGCTTCTTAGATGTCCTGAATCAATTGAAAATATTTACCATTTGTGGTCATTTTTACTTTAAGGAAAAATTAGGAGTTAGCTAATGCCAGATTCATTGAATAAAGGACACTCCATCATGTTTTTATGACCTGCCTTTCAGCAGTAGCATTGAATACATTTTTTTTTTTTTTGGACTGGGGATTGAACTCATGACCTTGTGCTTGTGAGGCAGCCGAGGTGACATTGAGTACATTTTTTATCACACCTCATAAGGTCACTCATGAAAGAGAACTGCTTCAGAAAGTTGCAAGATCAATGGCATAAGTTTGTTTGAAGCAAGCGGAAATATTTTGAGGGGTATAATAGCAACAATGTGTCTTGACTGTAATACATTTTTCTAAATATTCATTCTATATTTTGCTGCTTGTACATGATTTATGGGAGAAAAAAATCATAAGAAGTGCATCTTGCTTTTGGAAATCTTAGAACTGGTCTGACCCTCAAGGTGGCCCTAATGTTTCCATGGCAACTCCTACCTAAGTGATGGGGCCATTCATTTCCATACACAGTCCTCTATACTGGCCCAGTTTGACCTGATGGTATCCCAACATCTTAGAAGCCATTATCAGACTCTCTCCACCATGAAAGTGAACTCAGATCTAAGTTACCTCACCCTGAAAAGTGGGGATCATGCAGTTCCTGCCGAGAAGACCATCGGCCTGGAAGAAAAACTTGCTCCACTGGCAATGACATCTTCCAAGCCTTTGTTTGGGTGAGCTCTGTATTCTCTGAGACTTGAGAGATGAAAACGGGTCTGTCTTTGTAAATATTTCAAGTAGTTTCACTATTTTAAAATTGACTTGGTTTGGTTAGATGAAATACAAAATACATTGAAATCAATTTTTAATATGCTTGGAAATAAAATAACTTTGTATTTTTGCATCAGCTATTTCGTAACTTTGCAAAACAGGGCACTCTTGTGGCCAAGCATTCCAAAGGTACAGGCAAATTAGAGAATCAGAATTAGAGATTTATTATATAATAGACAATCTTCATCAAAATGGGAGGCAAACCAGTACATATTTCTACAAGAACTGAGCCGATGTTATTTTAAACTTACCGAAAGATGCGTGTATCAGCACTGGAAAAAATGTTTTTCCTGTTGTGAACACACCCTGTAATCAGGTTAGATCTGCCTCCAGTGGGTCACTGCTGGTGCCTGTGCTGTAACCCAAGAGGCTCCAGTGGCCACTGCCACTCCCTCAAGGAACAATTGCCAGGAACTACATCATTTTCAAATGAGAGTAGGAGACATATCGTGAGTCCCAGAATTTAAGTAAAATGCTAATTTTTCCCCTTTCCTTTAGCATGTTATTCCCTGAAGCTCGGCGCCTAGAAAGTACGGGGAAGCTGTTAGAGTTGGCGGACATAGATCCCACTCTTCGGCCCACCCAGCTCTCCATATTGCACTTTAGGAGCCTCTGTGACATATACAGAAAAATGTGTGATGAAGACCAACAGCTTTTTGGTTATAACTTCAGAGAAGAGCTCAAGCAAAGAAGAGACAAACAGAAAAAAGAGGAGAAAGAGAGTTACGGACTCGAGATGCCACTTTAGGGGCTTGCAGCCTGACAGATTGATTCCACAGTGTGGAGCTGCTTCTGTGTGTGCTTATCTTTGCAGAATGACAATAAAATACCAATGACCAGATGACTTATGTTCCTTTTACTGTACAGCTTGGTAGAGAAAATAAATATCAAATAAGATACAGTACAAGCTTTTAATATATATACTACATAGATATGACATGTTTAGTATAAACAGCCTCTATTACAACCCTACAAAAATGAACTATCTGCATGTTGTACCCCTAACCCACATTAAAATAACTTAAGTATACTTTAAATAAAGCAAAAACAGTTCAAAGAAAATGCCCAGAGGACTGATAAAAGATGATCCTTTTAAAAGCTATTAATCACAACTTCCTCATCCTTACTTTTTTCCACATAACTTAAAATTAGAATGCAGTTTTAGGATTCTAAATCATTTTGATGCCTGCTCAAAAGGGATATAAACTAAGTAATTTACAGATTCTGACAAGTTTAATCTAGTTTTCTGATCCACAATAAATTAAAATAACTTAAATCTTTACAACAATTTTGTGGGAAAATGCATACTGCACAAAACTCAATGATGAATAGTTTTTCTGCAATTTCCACTTTACCACCAGTTTAGAAGTAAGTGAGCAATGTAACCTTTATCTGGATGGAATTGTACTATGATTTTCCATGGCTCTCTGTTTCATAAAAACACTCTTCATTGACGACTGAAGTTAAACTCTGGACACTGAATTCTCGCTCTAGAACAAAATTGAGATCAATGTTGACGGTTTCGGGGTGGCTGTCAAGGGACTGGTGCCGAGTCTGCGCCTTCAGCAAAGCTCCTCTGTCCCTCTTAGTGCTGTTTGCTTTTCGTTTAATGGGGCAGAAGTGGGCCCGGACCAGCTTGGGCTGCTCTCCCTTCTGACCCTCGCCCACCCCTGTACCAGACTGCTGCTCCACCAGCTGGGCATCAGGCTCCTCAGAGATTCTCAGTCTCTGGAACTGAATTTCGATGTCCTTGGTGGGGCTGCTCTGTTTCAGAGTCTGCTGGTGGTCGTCCTCATCATCACTCAGAATATCACTCTCTTTGATGAGACTGTCGGGAAACTCCGCCAAGCCCACATGGGCGTCGCCCCCTGGAGCCACACTCCTGCAGTTCTGCCTGCTCTCAGCCGCAGAGCAGCCACTGCTCTGGGTGCCACTGCTCAGGCTGCACTCGTCTGAGTCCAGTGAGTTAGCCTTGCTGGCCTCACTGGGCCACTCGCTGCTACAGGAGGTCCTGAGGACTTTAAGAGACCTGGATGACGCTGGAAGGAGAAAAGCACATTTCCCTGGATGACAGGCAGCGTATATAATGTGTCATTTCTGCCTCATAAGGCATTAGATTTAACATCTTAATCACTTGAGATTTTATTTTGTCATCTGACTTTACCATGTATGCTGGCATTTGGGCAAAGACTTAAAAAATGCAAGCATAGCATTTTTTTACTTACATTTATTTGAAACTGTATGTTGGAAGAATTCAACATCTTTAGATTCCCAAAGCTTCATTATTTAAATAGAACAATAAACTACTATAAGGGCTAGGATTATTTTTCCAGGGAGTAAATTGAAGTTAATCACTAATAAAATCTAGATTTCATTCTTTTACTAAACTACTATATAATTTGATAATCAAGGTTACACCATATCTATGCATATCTTACCTTATTTCCCTTGCTGCTCAATTACAAGCAGAAAAATGTTCTTTGCCTCATGAGAACTATCTCTGCTAGAATTTCTAGTCAACTTTCACAGTTAATAATATGTATATTTAATTATTTGTGCCTATGTGTGTATGTATGAGGACTTTGTTCTCTTGGGTTGAAGGGGGAAAGGGCACTTTAAATGAGTGTTTCTGTAGACAATAACACCATGTTAGTTTTGACAGCCATAGCTTAATTTAACAATAGAGAAAAAAAATTATACAGTAAATCTCATCAAGTCAAACTGTGCCTCAAAAGAAGTTATATGCTTAAGACTAAAGTCAAGAACAAAGATAAAGATACAGAAAGAAGATTCTGAAACTGAAGCTGAACTTTTAGAAACAGGCAGAAAGTTTAAGAATAGTGTAGCCTAAAATGATTACCTGCTGACTTATTAAGAACAAGTATATTAAGTCTCTTGATCTTAATTCATTAAGTACAGTGGTACCTCAGTTCTCATCATTAATTGGCTTTGGGAGGTGCATGAGTACCAAACAAATTGTTTCAGGGGAAAGGTAGTGAATCACGAGGCAGTCAGTACCCGCAAGTTGTAGCTTGTGGGTGGACTACCAAACAAGTACCAGGACAAAACTTTCATGTCAAAATGAGTCAAGTACCAAATTCAATGAGTTTCAAAGCAGTTGAGTACCAAGGAATGTATTGGTCTAAATGCCTGGTGTTCTTCAGAACCCTGGGAATACTGCAATAAGCAAGATAAAGTCCTTGGACTCATGTACATCCTTAGTGGAAGAAACAAAGATAGTAAGTCTGGATGGAAACTGGTGAGAGATGAGATTAGGCAATGGAGGTAGACATGCTTTGTCAGAGAGTATCTAGGAGCAAGAGGAATATTTAAGTCTCTTTAAGTTACCCCTGATGATTTACAAAGAAATAACTTACAGCCGTGTTATAAGAATATATATCCTTTTTTAAAACCTCATAATTTCTTGAATAAATACAGAGCTTGCAAAATTCTCACCTAATTTGGCTGAAACAGGAACTCGGTTCTTGAGAGGTACCAGGCGATCCTTAGAGGTCTTCTCCAGGGGTAATTCACACTTTATGTGACGCCTGAAGTTTTCCCTCAGAATAGAACGAATCACCTTAACGATGTTGGTTTTGCTCTCGCTGTCACTGGTAGGAGAAAGGAAAGAGCCATAGTATCTATCATCCCAGGCTCTCCTGAGGCCATTGCTTTCCTCAGTGCTGCCTTGCAGCGTCTAGGCTAGATCAACAGCAGCTTCCCAACCTCCGTACCTGGGCTTCATCACAGAAGCAGGCAAGAAGTGATCATTCAAAAATTTGGATACATATATCTAATTGATGTATTCTCCTTCTAGACTCTCAGGTATCTTTTGAGGAAGAGGGGTTACCCTGATGTCATCAAAACTGAGGAGGAGACTAAAACTCCCTTTTTAAAAAAGACATGATTCTTCTACTGGTTTTAATTTTTGGAAGTCAGAAATACCTGCAACATAACTGAAAGATGGTTTCTGGCCGTCCTTCTATTTCTGACTTTATATGGATCAGCTCCCATATGGAATTATTTTCTGTCCCTGCGTAAAAGGAAATGTAAACAAGAGTTTACAACTTTGCCAAAATGCCTGGTTACGAACACTTGTGAAGTTTAAAACTGAAGATCTGAAACATAGTAATTCTGGAAGTATCTGAATATTTTCCAGGGTCAGAGCCCCTCCCCTCCCCTTTTTAAAATATCTCTTGCAATATTACTTAATCTTATGGAATTTTCTGGTATATCTAAATTTGTAAAAAATTAAACTTTTTGAGTTTTTTTCGAGCTTTGTTTAGCAAATTTAAAGAATCAAGAAAATTAGGATAGTGTTAAAAACTACTGATTACAAAAACAAGGTAACAAAGAAGGGATGTATTTGAGAGACAAAAGGTGTCCACTGGCATTTTGTTTCTCCCAAAAGTTTGTTCAGAAACACCAAAACAACCTCTCCTGTCCTCATTTTCCTTGCCTATAAATATAAGACACCAAAAATCATCTCCAGCAGTCTTTTCCTACTTTCTTTATTCCACAATTCAAATAAGTCTCTTAAAATACTTTCACTGCACAAGTTACCTGCTGTGTTCCCCAGTCGGACTTGAAGTGCAGATATGGGGATCAGCCAGCGGAATTTAAATGGGTCCAAGTCAGCAGAGCTGTGAGAAGGCCTGGAATTGGAGGGCTGTAAAGTGAAAGGCCCCAGGGAAAAGGTTAGGGAAGCTCATGTACATGGCAAAGAGAAGCCTCATGTCCTTCTGTGTGCAGGGTTCCATGCGGCAGCACGGGTGGCCAGGACACAATCAGGTATGTATCCAGTTTTCAAAGACTTCCCAGGCTTTTTTCCTTCAGAAAAAAAGCCAGGATAATGGTTCAGGGAGCCCCGGGTCCCAGGTCCTGAGGCAACAATCTCCATGTACTCCCATTACTGCTGATGGCTTGTATCCAGAGCTAAACTATGATTTGGGGGGGGGGGCGGTGCTGTCTGTGTTCTGTTTTTAGTTGGTTGGTTTTGAGTCAAGGTAAATGATACTTGAAAACAAACCAAAGTTACATAGATTTCTTAAGTATGGAACAAACAACATGGGCATTTTCAGGGCTATAAATTAGTTTTCTATGTAGGCCCTGTTATGGTTTGAGTTTAGATGTCCCCTCAAAGCCTCATGTGGTAATAAGACAGCTTTTTCAGACATGGCTGAATCTACAGTGTGTGATGCTTGGGATTAAAGGCGTGTGATACTAAACCAGTACACTGATTGGTTTGGCACTGCCCTAATCCCAGCGGTCTGTATAACAAGATTCTCTTGTTGCTTTGTTACCTTTGGTCTGCCATGAACTGTTGTCCCTCTGTCATGTGCCACCCTGCCTTGGAGCCAGCCAGTTATGGACTAAAGCCCCTACAAACTGTGAGCTAAATAAACCTTTCCTCCTTCAACTTTGGGTGTTGGGTATTTTGTCTCAGCAACAAGAGAAAGGTAAGGCAGGCCCCAACGTGTTTTTTTTGTCTACACCTAATTTAAAAGCAAGTATCTTCTCTTTATAGAGACTCAAAGATGTTCTGGGTACTTGATTGGGTTTCTGTCTGAGAATAATATCAGTTAGTGTGATTGGTACTTAGTGGGCCGTGCAGTCCAACATTATAGGAAAAGATAGCTATGAAAAGGTAGCTTTAATTAAAAGTAATTCATCTTACCAGTTTCTTTTTCAGTTTGCAGTTTTCTTTATAAACCAATATGACAGCTCTCTTAAAGACTAAAGAAAGGGAAAAAATTTTTCATTATACAAACTCTTCTAGGGTGAAAGAAGAACTGAATCTTACTGGAACAAAGCTCTTCAAATTTATGAAATCTCTAAGATTCCATTATGCCAAAAACTTGGGTGAATAAACAGTACTTTTTTGTTTTGTTTGAGCACTATAAAGAAGTTCCAATTATTTAATAGCTACATCTAAAGAAGGCCCTAGCATTTCTTTGTTTTATTGAAAGTTGAGATGGTGTCCATCTCAGTGACCATACACTAGCTATATATGCCTACTATCCTAACTCCCAGTGACAATTAAAAGAGATTTTTGAAATACAGCAAACTATTAAGATAGCAAGTTTCAAAATAGCCTCCAGAGGTCTGCTGCTAGAACTCTTGGGCTGAGTCAAGCAGCACAAGGAAGAACAGATAATGAGTATGCAGAGCCATGGTGTTTTAACTAGTTGGAGGCTGGCTGTGTTAAGTCACTGGCCATCACAGCAACTCTTCAAACTCCTGGAAATCTAGCAGGGCTGGTCAACAGCTTCGTTGTTGCCAGTCTCATTTAGGTTCACCTTCTTTTGAATGGAATACTAACCAAATACTGTGAGCTCCAGGTCTTTTCTGGCTTTTCCTAGAGACAGAAATGGGTTCAACCAGGAGACTGTAGAGTGCATCAGAAGTTCTCCCATGGAAAGTTCTGTTACCTAGATTGTAAAAACAGGAAATAAATGTGGAAACTGTGGGGTAGATGTTTTGATGTTATACGATGATTGATAAATAATACAAAGGTGAAGGCATTTTGTTTCAGTGCACACTTATGTACATGTAAGATGTGCCTTATAAGCAACTCTGTTTCCTTAACAGTTCTGCCACCGTGTCGAAGTTCGTCCCAAAGACTTTGTTAACATCTGCCACAGATCTAGTATGTTCTCCATCTCTCATTCCCAAGCTGTGTTGGGCCTAATAATAAAAAAGTACCAATCCTGAAACTGAACTTAAAAAAAACAACTCTGGCTCATTTTCTACTAAACTTTGTTGCTTCTTCTGTGGAGGTTTTGGGAACACAAGGCTTCTAAATTTAGCAATCAGACCAAAAAACACATACACACATGCATATGCACACGCATGCACACACAATGTCAGCTCCTTCTTGGACTGTTCTAAGTAAGTAGGTAACCACCAATATTTGATGTTTTAAAAGGAAAAGAAAAAGTCAAAACCCCTATATTCTCTTCATATGCTGTCCTCCCTTTCCATCTTCTCTCCCCTCCCAGGCCAAGCCGCCCTCTGTTCCAGCCCCTAGGACTGGTAGACCTGATAAATAGTACTAATATAAGGCTACATTTTTAGATCGATGTAATGAATGTTATGTCACATTTCCTTCTAAACTATAGTTTATTGTATGCATTAAGGTTAAAAAAATTTTAGGCATTTTCCGAAGTCTTAACAGGATCCTAACAGGTCACCTAAGCCCCACCCACCACACATGAGGCCCCCAAGTCCAGATCCCCACAGACCTCCTTCTCTGTGCCACTCTGCTCTGCAACTAACTGGTCAAACACAGTCCCATAATCCTCATAGATCTTCTGCATCTCATTGATGTGGCTTGCTACTTTTTCCATTGCCTTTAGTGCTTCTGCAAAATAAGAAATCATCTTCATATTTAAATCTATCCAATAGCAATAATGAAAGAGCTTGTTATAGTTTATATCTAGATGTCTCCCTACAGCCTCAAGGGATCATAGGTGGGACAGTAGGAAGGTGATAGGTTATAGGGGCATATAACTGGCTTGCTCTTAAGGAGGTGGGCCCTGCTTGGAGAGGCAGGTTATGGGCATGACCTGGAAGGCTATATCTCTCTTGCTGGCTCCTCCCTTGACTCTTTTTGCTTCCTGGATGCCATGAAGTAAAGCAGCTTTTCCTCCACTGTGCCTCTCTGCCATGCCATTCTCCACTGGAGCCAGCTGACCATGGACTGTAACCATAAGCCTCTCTTCCTTTAAGTTGTGGTGTCAGGTGTTCTGTCTCAGGCAAGGACAAGAAAGTGACTAAGACAGAGCTTAAGATTCAAGCCAGGATTCAAGATCTATTCTCTCCAATAGAGGCATTATTCATTCATAGCTCACCACAGCCCATTGTACCCTTGTCATCACAAAGAACAAATTTTCTTCCACCTCAAATTCTCTTTGAAATGAGGAGACTGTAAAGTAGCTAACTTTACTCAGCACTTCCTACTTAGCATGTGTCAGGATATTCATGTGACTCTCTTATCCACACAATGACTTAATTACCTAACCAGTTTCATTTTACATAAGAGAAAACCCTTCTGAAAAGAGGTGCAGAGTGTTTTGCCAGAGTTCTGGAGAGAAACAAGGGGCAAAGCCAAAACTCAATCCAAATCAGGCTGCCTCAAATATCTGCTCTTGAGTTCTGCTTCTCCTCTGGGATGATGAAGTAGAATTTGAATCCACAATGATTTTTTTTAAATTAGAATTTATAGATGTCTCTGTAAACACCTAACTGCTTAGAGAAATTGTTTGCATGTATACATGGTATTTATAGCTTTGTATGAGGGCATCTGAGGGACAAAACAATACTGTCAAAATAAAAAGCAGAATTTCAGTTCATCTCCAAATTCAGTTAGTTTTTAAACTCTGTTCTCCAGATTCAGTATTTTAATTCAGTCAGGAGGGAGGTTTGGGAGTTTTTAACAGTCTTTATAACGACAGATCACTGTGATGCGAAATGAACTCTTTACCCTGTATTTGAATACTAATCGTAATTTGTATCACTTACTTGTACAATTTAATTTTCATATAAAAATTTTTTGTCTTCATTGCTTATGATACCAAGGTGTTTGTAATGGAAGCACATGTTTAATTTACATCATTATTATTATTATATTATTATTATTATATTATTCTTCAGTACTTCTAACCTGTATAAGTAAATGTTTGTCTCCCTAGGAATTTTATGGATCAACTGGACCTCCCAGTCCTTGTAGTCCAAGTAAAACATCTCTCTAAGGGACACTCTACTCTCAAACTGTGGAGCTCTGTGTTTCTGTCAAATTGTGCCATTGGCCAGTAATTTCAAAGGTTACAGATGATACTATATCAGCCTGTTCTATAACGTAACCTGTCGCTGGGCCTTTGGTTTCAGAGCTCAGTTCTCAGAAATGTCCACAAGGTGGCACCTTGCGTAGTACATATGGTCAGCAGCACTAGGCAGCAAACACCACTTGACAGGTAGAAAAGAGGTCTGATTTTCAGTTCTGATGGCACCAAGTGACATGAGCTAATATACTCAACTCACTGAGCTTAAATTACCTCTTTAAAATTTAGCTTGGATCACCCTTCAGAGTAGTTTTGGGTTCTCCACTGAGATCATTTTTACCAAAGGATATTGTACACTCTAATGGGATGGCCATAGCAAGCTGTTTTTCACCTATGAAAGCTGTAACCAAGATGAGTGATCACAGTAGTGACAAATGATTCAGAACACACCTTTACACAGGAGAACAGCTGTGCCTGTAGGCACAGAGGGCAAGCAGGCCCATTCACAGCCTTACCTGTCAGGTGGTAGTGCTCTTCACTCTCATGGTCTGTCAGGGACACAAGTTCCTTCAGCAGCAGAGGGTACTTGAGCACTCTCTGTACTGGCTTGATAAGATATGACTCCAAGGTGGAGGAATGCTGCTTAGTGGGATTCCGAGCATCCAGGAAAGTCTTAAATGCCTTATCAGTTTTAGCTGCAAGCAATGAATACAAGACCTTTAGAAGAACACAGCTGATGCATTACACTGTGTTTCATTTATCTTAACAGAGTTGTTTTCAGTCACCCATTTCGATGGTCTTCTAATGTCATCCTTTAATGATCAAACACATCAATGGGTCAAGCTCCAAGCTGTCAACCTGGGATGCAGCATCTAGCTCTAATGAGTCCTGGGAATGAAGGAAGCTTACTAGGACACCAAAGGAGTACAGTCCACACACCAGAGAAAACACCCAGTCCCCATGTGGGGGTGTCAGTCTTAATGTATATATACTTCATGCATACTCATGAGAGATGCTGTTATAGGTGGCAAAAAAGGAGTTTAAAACAATTCTTAAAGGCACAGAACAATGTTTTCCAGACCCTATGCCACAGCCTGCAAAGAGAGTTATACAGCTCCTTTTAGGTGTGACATTAGAACCCTTCTGGCAATGAGAACTGCCTTTCTGTTCAGTGTGTGAGTCCCATGAAGGATACACACAGGAATCCAGGTACATTTAGTACAGGCGACAACAAACACACCAGCTGCCACTTCGGATTCAACCAGTTGGTGCTAGTTGACCAGCTGCTTGGAATGTAACCAATCTGAATGAAGATATTTGAGGTTCTGTGTCAAGAGCAAAATCTACAGCATCTAGGTCAATGATGGTGAACCCTTTAGAGCTTTCAGTGATGATAAACAGCCTGCCGCAGTACGTGTGCCACAGGTTTGCCATAGGTTTGTCACCACTGATCTAGAATATACAGTACCATTTTGGATCATGCCTGCCAAACCAAGTCACTAATGAAATGATCATCTTTATGACAAAGGAGGTATAGAGCACTGCATGCTCTTGTTTTACTGTAGACTATCTATACGTTGTTTGTGGGACAAAATGCCAGTGGAGTTAGACCTCTGTTTAAAGTGGCTACAGAAGATGGATTTTGTCTGGGTCTTATTAATTATAAGCACTCCAAGACTCCATTTTTAAAACTGGGGGTTTCTGGGATACTATAAAATTTTGCCTTTAAATCACGAAGCAAAGCCCCATCAGTGGAAATGGTTAAACACTCCAAGAGTCAGGAGAAACCTCTCCATGCCCTCCATGACAGTGCAAAGAAGGACCACTGAGAACCAGCCTCTGAAGAAACAAGTTCTTCCTAGATTCACCAAAGAGACTTTAATTTTAGCTAACATATCCTGTGAGTTTCATGGTATCCTGGTAGTTTGTAGTAGCTTCTGGGATTTAAGAACAGAGTTGACAAAACAACAAAAATTATAGCATTCATTTCTTTCTACCACATGCAAGGATTATGGTCGCAAAGTTTTAGAGAATGGAATGCAGAGAGGAAAAGAGTTCAAATGCGATTTAACAGCAAAGCGATGCGTGACAGCGGCATCTCCTCTCTTAGGGACACTTGTTCACTGTTACAAATACATTGAAATAAACTGAAAATATTCCCTTTGACTTGTCGTTTTCAAGGTCAAAAAATGGAGCATAATCCATTCAAATTGCACTTACCCATACTATTAAATATGAATTGCCCTTTATTAACGGTTAATAACACAAAAAACAGAGTTATAAAGGTACAAACAACTCACCTCGCTCAAGAACCTTCTGTACTTTAATATGGTTAGCACAGAATCCACTGTACAGTTTAAAATGATCTGCATAATAGAGGAAAGAGCCTCCAAGGGAAAACAGCAGCTTCTAGAAGGAGAGCAGAGAGAGTCAAATCAGACACGGTTTGCTCAGTATGTGTGTGCCTGGCCTGTGGCATTGTCTGTCAGATGCCACAACACTAATGCTTTAGGAGTCATAAGGGAAGTAAGCCCAAGACCACTCAGCAGATGGAGATCTGCCCATGCATCCCCAAAGTGGACCTTCAGCTTGAAGAAAAGATTCCTGGCAACACGTTCAACCACAGGACAAAAAATGCTAAGATATATACATCTACCAAGGTACGCTACGGAGATCCCAAGAGTGAACGAATACAGCCAACTCTCAGTTACTTGGGATGAATGATGCTCATTGTATACTTCCTGGCCCCTTTTCCACTGCTTTCTGCCTTCTTGTCCCTGGAGGGGCTTCCTGACAGCCATGGCACTAACACAGACACCTCACAGAAGAGAAACCTCCATCAGGGCATCTGAAACCTACTCTCTACCCTAGGTTCCCAGGTGTGGAGTAGGTGCTATTGTTTCTGGAATCCTTCCAGAAATACGACCAAAGAGCACATGTAGAGTTAGCAGCCAGGTGACTCCACAGAGGTGGAGCTGTCCAGATTTCTGACTGCTAGAAGCAGCTACTCTAGGAAAAAAAAATGTAGCCTTCTTTTACCACCTGCTAGGGGAAAAAGTACAAACACTAAATTTATCTTGACAAGGAACAACAGGTTCTTTTTCAAGGAAAATTGTGCCACACACACCTCTTTTTGCTTTAAGTATAAAAATACTTACTCTAAACTGTGAGGGAGTTTCCAGTATATCAAAGTCAGAGGAGGCTGAGATTCCATCCTCCAGAGTCTCCAGAAACACCTTCTGAAACTCCAGCATCTCTGGCAAGCTTCCAAAAAGGGACTCCATCTAGGTGAAGGGTGGGGTTTGAGAAGTGTTATCCAGGACAAGCTAGAGGCCTGCTACTTCTAAGGCCCACATGTCAACCAGAGGAAGCATTCCCAGGAATGAGGCAGAGGCAAACCCTTTACAGAAGAGCATATAATTTGCATGTAAAGAGACTACAGCTCCAGATGCTACAATTTGTTTTTTCTAAGATAACTTTTTAAGTGAATACAAAATTCTTGGAATTCAAGTCAGGAAAAGTAGAAGTCAGCAAGAAAAGAACTAATACTTGTGATTTAACATTAAAAATGCATGCACTGAGAAGTATTTTGGCCATACCTCCTCCCTACACAAAAAAAGCATAATCATCCTTCTACCTTTTACATTTTTGCCTCTGAGCTCATGCAACAGAAGCCACATCTGTGACTTAGGAGGAGACACACGTGGGACTTTCTGAAGACCCTGAGTCTCAGATGTTCTTTTGGAATTGGTGTATATAGTACCCTAGGAGGTATGCTAAAAAGCAAATAGACACTGGCCTGACAAAGGGTCAATGAACAGAAAAAGTGAGTATCTACCTCATCTTGGGTAAGGAAAGTCTCATTCTGAAGTGGCTCCAGGTATAATTCAAAGAGACAGCTCAGATCCTGAAAAAAGAAGAGATTCTTTCACACTTAAATCTCTAAAGTACCCAAGAGAGTCCAGTAGCCCTGGCAGCAGCTACAAATACTCCCATTAGTAATGATGAAGTTGGTCTTGTTGAAATTCTTGACCCTAAAAGTGGTTATTTTTGCTCACCTAATGCAAAGGTTAATACACATTAGCACCATCATCTGAATTCTGCATATTTCTTTACAGCTCTGTCACACACTCTGCTTAGTGTCTCACTGACCAAACAAGTTGTCTCTAGACCACTGGAGCCCTCATTTCTCTGTAAGGGAAGGGAAGTGTGGCTAGGTACAGTACTGCTGCCAGGTGTGGCCAGAGCCACTGGGGATCTGGCTTCCTCCTCTCCCCTAGGGACCACAATGACAGCTCTAGCATGGAGCTGGGAGGGACAACACAAGATTGGGGAGCTCTTCAACTCTGGGCTTCATAAACCAGCAGAATTTCAAACTCCCATGTTCCAATGCAAAAAAAAAAAAAGCCTCCAAAGATTAGCAGTCATGTTTAAAATCTAAGCCATTACTGGGGCTCTAGTTGAGTGGGCTCTAGCAGTACAGCAGAGTGGGAATTCACTGCATTTATAAAATCCACTAAGGTTTTCTTCTAATTTATTAATTTGAATCCAAGACCAATTTAATTTAGTGATAGAAATACAATTTAGAGATAGAAAAAATTTCTCTTTTCATGTTTCATTTATTGTGAAGAACTCTGAGTCCTAAAATCCTAGACACAGCTGACTACAAGTTAGCTGCACTGACTCCCTCATTTTACAAGGGGCAAATCTAAGACCCAGAGACCTTCGCAAAGCCCAGAGCACTCCCAGAATCTTCATGGTATTGGTTCTGAAAGCAAAGCCAGGCCTGAGATGCTGATGGGCTTTCACTATAGAAACTTCCCGTCTTCACTACAGCAGCCTAAGATGTGAGAAGTCACTCAATACAATCTTGGGAAACACACAGATATTGCAAATTTCAAGGAGCATGCAGGGATTCAGGTTAAAAAATGACAAGGAAAATTCTGTGTTAAATATCAACAACAGAAATTTAAAAACAGTGGGGAGTGTGTGAATCACAGTGGGCACCCAGTGTGGTTATTTGTACAGAAAGTGGCAATGCAGCAGTCACTCCCATCCAGGCCAGCGCCGGCCACTCAGAGGACTTACTGCACAGCAAGAGCAGGTCACGCTGCACTGGGGGTGACAGAGCCACGAAGCCAGAGGCCCTATGAAGACAAAGCGCAGGTTTCCTGCAGAGAAGCGAGAGTTGGTTCGTCTTGTCTGCGTGACCACAACATCCACCTCAATATGCCACCGGCATCACACTGAAATGACCTTCCTAGTGCAATGTGGCCTCACAGGCAGGCAGAAAACCCTGAGGACAAAAAGGGACTCGGGTCCTACTTGCAGCTCTGCTCCTGACTCTGCCTGCAGGGGCTCCATGATTTTTCTCAAAATATCAGAAGGGCTCTGAAGTCTCAAAAACATCCACAGCCCACAGAGCTACTTGAACAAAGGTCACGGTGGACACATTCTGAACTCCCTGGTGGCCACTTCATCTCTCTACACTGGATGCAAGGGAAGACATAAAGGAAAATGAAACTGAAATGTTATCTCTCCCACTGACTTTTCCTTCTCCTCTATGGACCAAAGAAAGGAAGCTTTGGCTGAGACCCTTTGGTAAAGTCCAGGTAAACAGCAGTGATATGATTGAAAGGAGAAGTTCATGTATGTCTTGTGGAGAAAGAAAGTACTAGCCACATGTGTGCCAACCTGAACTCCTAGATTGAGCACCTCACTCCTGGAAGAACAAGGGGCCCAAATGGAAAGGTTGCCCAACATGCAGCCAAAGGTGCAAAGCCAGGCCTGGATTCTCAGCTGCTGCCTGTGCCATATTGTTCCAGGAATTGACAAAATGAGTTTAAAGTAGCTCCAGAGCTTCAGCAAATACTTAAAGAACTCTCTGCTTTTGCAGGCTCCTCTGTTCATAACTGAGGCTGATGAGATACATGAATTCTCTGAGTACTCAAGATACTCAGAAGCTATGCCGTTATCATGATATAAGAACATTCTTGTATGTGGGCCTCTATTCTACAGTGACTCCCACGAGCAGGGATGGCCTGGGGTCTGCCTGGGCTCTGGGGTCAGTATCCAGCCACTTGTATACAGATTGCTCCTTAGTGCTTGTCACCTAAAGTGATCTCTAGTATCTTTTACTAAAGCAGTACAGACTCCTTCCCACAGATTGCAAATGACAAGCTAGAACATCTGTTTCCATAGTGAGAGCTACCTTGGTAACAAAATGAGTCAAGAATCTGAATTTTTTCTGGGTCCTCTCAGCTCTTCCACTCTCTCACCCTTTCCTCCCTAATGTTTCTAGGAGCAGGTGTCTACTTCATAACTGGCAGATGTCTGGGACAGAGGTGATCTGCTAGCATAGCCTCTGCTAGCATAGCCTCTGCTAGCATGCAACTAGCTGTCAGCTAAGTAGAGGGAATGCCCGGCACTTCCCATTACCTTCACATAAGACTTCTCTGTGTCCACGAGCTCCTGGATGACTTTCCGGAGGCGGTCTGCATCAGAGAGGTGGCGGGCCAGAGGCCTCAGAGGTGGGTCCTGACTCTCCCTGGGTCCTTCCATACTCTTGGTCTGGGTGTTGTTAAAGCCCCTACACAGTGTGGTGATCTGTTCAGCACTCTGAGAGATGACAAGAGATGGAAAGTAATAATCAAGTCACTCACCATTAACATTAGCAACCCACCAAAGACACCAAGAATCTCTGTCTGTGCCTGGCACTCACTCCGGAGTCTCAGAGACCTGGGTCAAGGGCAAGCAGTTTCATTCACCTCAGACCACTCTGGCTGTCATTTGAGTCCAGTGAGGAAAATGGTATCTATACAATATTTAGAATTTTTGCACATAACACATCCCAGTGTGAAAATAGCTGTAATGTGCTTCTTCAGTGCTGGAATCAGAGAGGCAAGGCCTGGCTAACCATCTGCTGTGAAGTTGAGGTTGCTCTGAAATCAAGGCATTAGAACTTCCTGAGAGCACTCACAGGAAACAGCCTTACTGGGTTCACCCTGTCCCTCAACATTGGGCTCAGGTGGCTTTCTGTCTCCCAGATAGACTACCTGGGAGACTCAGGGATGGTGAGGCAACACAGCAACCTTAGAGTAGCTTGATGCCTGAGCTCTGCCAACTTGTGCCAAGTACAGAATTTTGAGTGCAAAAGTCTTGAGCTGGTACGTGTGCTGGGAATGGAGTGAAGACCAAGACAGAGAAGAGAAAATGAAGGTCCTTACCCTAAAAGGATGCAGAGCTTGATGGAAGATACAGGCAGAGGAGCAGATGGCACAAGTTGCAGGGTGAATGTGAGAGAAGAGGCATGGCCAGCCCTATGGGAAACCTTCACAGAAGAGGGGTTAAGCTGGGTCTTAGCAGTGAGTAATCACGGCCAGGCTTAGGGAGCGTGAGTCGAGAAAGCATTCATTCCAGGTAGTGAGGACAAAAAGCACGCAGATTAAGGCACGAGGAGGAGCAGAAATATCTAAGGTTAGAGACACTAAAACTTTTGACACAAGTTCCTAATTAGCTCTGAGCACTGTGTGATTATGTTTTCTCGAAGAGAACCATTTGTGTGCTCCTGCTGTAGGCTGGCAGCTTAGAGCCTCGAATGTCTGCTCCTGTGTGCTTCCATAGTTCCCAGAGTACCTCCACATTGCATTGCAAGTAATGTGGCATTTTCTCTTTCCATCCTGCCCACATCCATCTCCACCCCATCCTACCACTGTCTGTGTCTTTCTTTGACATCGCCTCACATGCCCAGCTTGGTGTTCATTGCATCTCTCTTACATTATTCAACAAAGAGCAGCATGGTCCGGATATAAGTGACTAATATCTGAAATATCTGGCAACTTTGTGTCTCAACTAAAATGGCACTTTCTTCATTTTAGACGCCTTCATGCCTGGCCTTGGTTCATCACTCTGTAAGGCAAAAAGGTGAACTTGTCTTTGCTTGGATATTTCAGAACACAGTCAACTGATACAAGTATGCTGGTCCACCATGGTGGCCTGACACGTGCTTTCAATACAGCTGCCACATGACAAAGTGAATGCCGCAAAGCAACCCAGGCTACTCTGGCCCACCCCTTTTCTGTGCTACCTCCACCCCACCAGTGTCCTCACACAATGAAAATACAGTCAGGATTAAAGCTCAACACTTATCTTCTGCCTTTCAATCAATTTGATGGGCACCAATTGTGGGCTTATTCTGTCTCCAAATAACTACAAGATAGTTCCTACCCAAGAAGACTCACAAGGTTGGAAACACCTAAGTACAGTCTAAGGTAGTCTGGAAGCCCACACGAGCTTGGGTGGAAGAAATGGAAAATGTAAGGCAAGAACACGGACAGAAGCACCACTTTGGAACAAGTTGCCAAGGAAGGCTTCAGCAAAGCAGTCGCTTATAATGTGGTCCTGACAGGAGCCTGGTCCGAGGGAGAACCAGAGAACAGCCCAAACTTGCAGTGGGAAAGTGGGCTGAGCAATACACAGAGCCTGGCTCCTTGGATAGAACTACTTCTCCCTCGTCTGGTGAAGAATCCTGGTGCACAAGTTAGATCAAGTGGGTAGCAGGTACTAAGCCTCCAACTAGACACACAGACATATAAAGTATAAAATAATTTGTTTCCACAGATCAAAAGCATAAATAAGTACTAATGATTCTCGTTGGACATATATATTTTCAACTTATTTTTCTCTTTTAAATGTGAACACATGCATATTTCTGGCAATGCCTGTCAGAGGACATGTATTTCAGGGTAAAATTTCCAAGAAGGGGGAAAAAAAAAAAACAGATGTGGATTTTAAGGCACCAATCAGAATGCAACTTGATTTTTCAAAATGTCTCATGTTTGTAACAACCAAATTCTATGATTCGTTTTTTTGAAGACATTTCAACACTGTTTAGTGATTCAAGAGCCTAGTGGCCCAGAGAACAGTACAGTCAAAAGGCACCATCCCTTCCCTTCCAGGACATGAGCCTCTGAGGGAACCCAAAGGAATATAACTGCGACTATCTGAATCCTGCCCATGAGTGAGCCTCAATGCAGGCTTCATGTTAGCTTTGCTGGGGTTTTCAGAAACACTGTGCTGAGACCAAGTGAATCAGAAAACCTGGGACCCTATCATGGGTGTTTTTTAAATCTTCCCAAAGGATGCCAATGTGTGACCTGCAGAGAACAGCTGGTCTACCCCTTAGGACAGCTACATCTGCTTGGGTCTCCTATGTCACATCTGCACAGAAGGGGAAGCCACATAAAAGATGTGTGGAATGAGGGCACAAGGTAGGAGGAAGGAGACAGAATCACATCCTGACCCTGGGGTTCTGGCTTGGCCCTCTACTAACTGCTAAAAAGCCCATGACAATACTCAGACTCCAAAACTCCTTCTTGAAATCTCTGTCCTGGGATTTGCACCACAAGCTCAGACAATTTAATTCTGCAATCCTGAAAATGAAGTTTTCAGGGCTGTAGAAGCTATATTAAGCATGCATACATTGTGTAAAAGAAGATTTGACGAAATGCACCATAAGTTAAATGGCATCTGGTAAGCTTACAGCTTTGCCTTGCTGGGATGTCAAAATTCACACCTAGCAATGCAGTGTTAAAATAACAAGATTTTAAAAATAAAGTATCTTGCCACTTTAGAAAATGAAAATTCATTTAAAAACCATGTCTGCTTCTGAAATTGTTCAATATTAAATCTACTTTTCAAGGTACTGCAGTTAAGTGCTCAAGTGCTGCAAAGACACCTTTTGCACATTTAACAGTTTGGCTGTGAGCATTACCTCGGATCAAAAGGAGGCAGGGCTCCCAAAAGAAGAGAGTACAGATGTGTCCTGCAAAATTACTTTGAAAGAGGCACCGGGGTGGTTATATTGCAGTTCCTCTATTCTCGGTGATGGTTATAAACAGTGAACCCCTAAAGGTGGATTCAATGTGAAGTTCATAAGCATTTTCTAGGAATAGCGATGACTTCTAAGTTGTCAGTGTCTTTATTCATGAAAACGCAGCAGTGGTGTCTATCCCATCAAACATCTCAAACTGCTACTGGTTATGGAGCAACGGAAAGGTAATGTTTCGAGAAACTGTTCTCCACCTAACCTGTGGGGCACTGTCACAGAACTCATGAGCATTTTATCTTTACTGTGACTCACTGAAGCTTGGACAGAACCTTCATGGCATGAGGCCCCTCTCCTCTCTACCTGTCCACACAGCACTGGCCACTACTCAGTATCCAGCAGAGCACAGGCAAAGCAGGCTTGCCTCTCCTGCTACCTCTGTCCACCATGGAGTGAAGGTTCTCCTTGCCCCAGCATTCTCCGGTGCATTCAGAGAGCTGACACAGCCGCACAGACAGCAGGGAAGTCGATTAGGCCAATCCCACCAGGCAGTCTGAGGATCCTGCCGAGGAGAAACCCAGGCCCACTGCAGTATGGGCCTCTATTTTGTGTTTGTCCGTTTGTAGCAATCAACACTAAGATCTTCAGTTCACTGTGGGCTTCACCATCTTTAAGAGGGCACAAATATTTTCTTTAAAGATTCATTAAGAAGATTAAACAAAAACATTTTTTTCTAAACTATCTGAAAAAGCCGTGGTATTGGCCCCTGCCCAGTTTTTTTTCTTCAGGTTTTTAAGATTACACGAAGATTTATCCCTGCTTGAAAATGATTTCATCTTATTTATAAAGGAAGAGTGGCTCACTCAGGAACAGATGTTTAAGCATAGTTATTTTTGTTTTTTGTTTCAATACATGGATAAGGACACCTTCTGGCTCTATATAAAGAGGCTGAACTGTGTCTGTTTTTCGAGGCTTTTCCGTTTTCCTGTGGGCTTTGAAACCCTTAAAAAATAATTACTATGGGATAAGTTCATTATATTATCCAGAATTATTTCAAGACTAAGACTGAGGTTTCATAGCTGCTGCATGAAATACTAGTGCTGATCAGAAGGCCTCTTCCTCACAGGAGCTGAGCTCTGTCCCGTTCCTCTGGCACAGTGTGCCACAAAGCCCTCAATCAGGCTCCAAGTACCACAAGCTTTGTCAAAGGCATCTGTTTGTAACACTTGGGCTCAAAAACATGTCTAGCGTAAGAAAAAGGATTTAAAAGTGCTCCGTAACTTGGGATAATATTTCACATGGAAACACTTAAAGAACAACATTTGCAGTATGTGCTACGTTTGCGATCCCAGTTTAGAGGGCAAGAAAGTTAACTTTGAAGAAATTTAGTAACAGGCTTAACCAACACGGAGACCTAAGGGATACTATCCCTACTGCTGGATTAACTGGTCATGGCACAAGTGCCTGATCTCTTGGCACACCCCTGGCTGCCACCCACAGCCGCCTCCCCTCCACCATACTGAGCCACTGACCTGGTCCAAGGCCAAGTCTGGGTAATGTCCACAAAGACTCACCACATAAGAATATCAGCCAGAAGAATTAGGTTTCTGCTACCTCTATTGCCACTAAAGAGAATACTGAAAAAACTGCACCTACATTTTAGGTCTGGGGTAAATGGCCGATTATCCTGAAGGATGATCCTGCTCTGGCAGGGTAATGTTCGTAAGCTGTGTGTTCTTATATACTGAACACTAAAAAAATATTCCCAGTTCACTGTCTGGAAATCAGGAGG